TAAAATGTTATTCTGTGGAAAATACTGAGAATTTATTTGGGTAATAAATATAGTGAAGTTACTTGCTTTAAAAGAAGAAGAGTGCTCTCTGCCCTCAATGCCTGCTCTATGCGTGATGGGTGCTGCAAATTAGTTCTCAGCTGCAATGGGATGCAGACTAAGCCTTAATCCCGTTAAGATAAAATGACAAGCAACATTTTTTCTAGTTTGAGGGAAATCAGATCCAAATTTTGTTGCTCGGGCTAATCTCCTAAGCCTGTAGTTGCTGCCACACTAGATGTATCAGAATATTTGTCCATTGTCCAGACAATGAGTGAGTTTTCACTGGACTGTTCATAGCTAGGTGCCAATTGGATCATTCTCCCACTCCTCAGACATCACTCCTGCCTCATTGGGCACATCATTCACCCTCCAGTAGGAGTACCCTATCCCTCCCCAGCGTCACAGAGGCATTCTCTGGCTGGAAGAAAAAGACACCCTCTTCCAGATGCCTGTGAATACTTTGTCTATAATTTGGTCCTTTGTGGGGACTGGTATATAGGAAGACAAGGTTCCCTTACCTCCCATGGGAGCTGGAAGCAAGAGACTTTATCTGGTATCCAAATCAGATTTCTCACAGTGTTTAGCAGCCCTTGGCATCTTCTGAAAATGTTACGTGTTAAATAAGTAAATAAATAACCCCCTCCTTAGCAAAGGATTGCTGTTAAAATCCAAAATAGTACACAGGAAAATGGAGGGCAATGTACATGTCAGAATGCTGCAGACACCAAGCTGTTCTGTGGAAAGTGCATTTGTTCTTTCTGTTTAAATCTCATTATTTATTTTCTCCATTCTTTGAACCTAATGGCTTACTAATGAATTCGGGGGGGGGGGGGGGGGAGGGAGGGTGGAATCATGGTGATATCATGGGTTAAACCCCCTCTCTACTTTTTGAATGTAAATTCTTTTTGACAGTCTTACTTATTGCAGAGCGTTGACTTTTTTCCAACAACAAAACCGGACGCTATTTGGTTTTGCATAGTTAACATTTTGCTAATGGGTAGCCAAGATTCTCTCAGCAGCTCAACAACATTTTCTAAAGCACACTGGCGTTGTTGTAGCAACTGGTGGCTGATCTGTGAATAAAGCAGATGTCATTGTAGCAGGATAAAGAATGAACAATCTATCACCCCGCTACTACCACTCTTTCTGCCCAAACAAGTCATCAGAATGACAACTTTGGTGCCATAGTCATCAATTCAAGTCATTGTATCACCTTTACTCATCTTGTTATTAAATAAACTGATGTTATAAGTGCTAAGAATTTGTCAGCCCTCTGCCACTGGCTTTCTCATGGAGGAAGTGAAGATCTGCTAAAGCACTGACTGTTTGCCAGCTTCCTTTTAGGCCTTGATTGATTTTATACTTTCATACAAACTGGCCTGGCCTAAATAAACACAATATATGTTCCGAGAAGTTTTTTCTCTTTAGTGTTTAATCTGAATTCAGTTCATTAGAAATGCAATTAGAGATGGGCAAGCGTTGAAATAATCTGACTGGTGCCCAAACTTAGTACAAAGAGAGAGACAGAAGCAGATAAATTGCCTTTCTAACTTTTCAGAAAGACTCCAGTCCATTTTTTGTACTTATTCTCCAAGTCTCACCATGCGTACTTAGTGTGAGCACAGCTTGTCATCTAGATTGAGTCACCTCACATCTCCCTCTTTAGGTGGCAGGCCGTTCCCTGCAGACTTTAAATATAGAAGTAATAGAATTTACCACTTCCATTTCCAAACTGTTTCCTAGACCTTTCCGGATAAAGCATCACAATACCACTTGAGAGGTGGATAAGTAGTAGTATTCCCATTTTACATATGGAGAGCTTGGTCCATTATATGTTTGCTTTTGATTTGCCCAAGCTCATTTACTGCCAATACTGGGATTAGAATGCGGGTCTTCTGACTTCTAGGCCTATTCTCTATCACCTTCTTTTTAAAGCTAGTGTTAAAAATGTATTTAAAGGTGAAATTGTTAGACAAACCCTGAGCTCGGGTTTTGTCTAAGTTCCACTGCAACATCACTAATAATTAAGCAATGTGAAGGTTCTATTTATTAATTATTCATTATTATTCAGGAATTGGGGAAGTCATTGTAGGAGAAGAAAGAGGCAATCTCTATCCTGAGTTATTGGCATATACAGTAAGAGGAAGGAAAGCTGATTTTAAAAAGACTTCTGTTTAAAAAATAAATTTTGTCATTAAATCTCAACATGTATTTTGTTTGTTGTTGTTATCTTTAGAGACCAGACGTTAATCTAGTTCTTAAAGTAACATCCTAGAAGTCAGGAGACTTGGTTTCTATTCCTGACTTTTCCACAGACTTCCTATGTGCCTGTGGACAGGTCACTTAACTTCTGTGCCTCAGTTTCCCTTCATTATATGGGGATAATAATGCTGGATAATCAAACCAGAGTATCATGAGGTTTAATACTATACTTTTTGCAGAACACTTTCGCTGCTTCACTGGTTAGTACTACAAAAGTGCAAAGAATAATTATCTTAACACAGGGAAACCCTATACATTTTAGTTTATTTCTACAAGATATAATTTAAGTAAAAGATTTTAGTTCAGTCATCACTCTCATCACAATTGTACTTCCTTCTCTTCTTGAGATGGATCTCACTATATATCTGGATAAATCAAAAATCTCTGGACAAAATGTGCTCCCTGATAGCTTAAGCCAGCATTTAACTTCCCCTGTTGCTTAAACCAGATCTGTCTATCTTTAAACCAATGAAGGATCAGATTGTAAATGAACAATATATTTGCAGAACAAATTGTCCATATGTGCACGCACCTCTATAGTCTTATGTATAGATGTGAAGTTATTGAACATAAACTGAAACTGAGGAACCTCCTCACAAAAGAGATTTATTACTGTCTCAATGCAATTGATAAAGGGCTGTTAACAGCTAGAAATGTTTTCCTCTGTGTTCAAGCTTTTTCTCCTTGGTCATGTATCCTATGGGTGCTAGACTCCAGTGCACCACACCAATAAATATTATTTTTAATTTTGAAAAGGGGACATGGGACAGGTGAAATCATCTTGTGGGCTAATTCTGACCTTTGGGCCATCAGCTGGACAGCACTAACTTAGGTTACAAAGCAAGTCAGTTTAGTCAAGCTACCAATATCCCTCCCTCCTTTCCCCAATGAATCCAATAATCTTCTTTCTCTGTCTTCCTTAATGGTTTTCAGTGACCTTCCTTTATTTCTTTCCTCCACTCCAACGCATCTCTGGGCTTCATTTTATTCCTCTGAGGTCATTTCTTTCTTTCTCTGTGATGGGCTATAATGTTCTTTTCACTACTTCTTAGGATGTTCCTTGTCCCCTGACCTGCCTTCCCCTGCCTAAAGCTACTTCCCAAACACTCCAACCCCCAGCAGCTCTTGCTGCTTTTCTGCAAAGTCCTGATACCATTGCTTTAAAAACACCATGCTCTGCTGCTGAGACTACAGAAAAGTACTTGAGATTTTAAAGTTACGGCATTGGAGGGCTCCACAAAACTCCCCAGCCGATTTTGAATATACAAGGAGAGATGGCCATTTGCAGAATCTTATAAGTCCACCTTATAATCAGTTTGCATTGCAACAATTTAGACTGTGTGTTGTTGCGGTGAGTTCAAAACTAACTGCATGAGAATAAGGAAACATATGCATGAAGAAAGGGGTGCAAACAATATGAGTAAATACTTTGAACAGATCTTCTTAGGCACCATCCACTGCATTTTGCTCTTTGCATACCTCTGCAATCCCGTTTAAATCAGTAAGTGTACATGACTGAGGTCAGAATTTAGCACTATTCCTCCATATTTTTCACTACAACCCAGTATTTACAACAGACCAGATGGAAGTGGAAATTTGGTCACTAGTGAATGTTTAAAATTCTCCCTGTGTAGCACAATTAAAGAAACAGCTGAGCTTCTCTACTCTGCTGATTTAGTATGAAATAACCTTCAAACAGTCTGACTTTTCATTCTAGACCTGAATTGGTCTACTAGCTGGATATCATGCTGTAGGTAAAGACTGTTTCCAGACTTCTCATACCACATGCGATAGAATGATAGGAACACGTCAAGACTGGACGGACATTTTTGTTTTATACCATATGCCTTTCTGTTTTACCATATTCTTGCTTCTAGCTGCTACGATAATTGGCAAACCATCAGTAATATAGGGAGGTAGACTAGATAGCTAAACTTAATTTCACCCCCCCCCCCACCCAATTAATTTCCCTGCCAGTGCAAGAGGGATATAAAATACTAGCTAAACTATTGAGCAGGCAGCACATCCATTCTCCAAACTTGCACACTGGCTCCAAGTAGAGGTGAAAATGTGACAGAAGGGTTTTCAGAATAGGGTTCTGTGCACAATGCATTGATCCCAAGGCACACTTGTGCATATCTCTTTTTTTAAAATAAGATTATGACCTGTAACTAGTAGTGTTAGGTTTATGTGGCATGAGGCTTGTGAATTGTCAGTTAACCTGGGACTATGAAGTGGTATTTGCAGTCTACATTACCGATTGAGGGGGAAAAGGATGATTGAGTATAGCAGGCATAAAAACTAGAGCTGGGCTTATCCATTTGGAGAAAATTCGGGTGCATCTAAACATGAAGGTGCTCACAGGTGAAGTGGGTATTTTGATTGTATCCTTTCTTACCACCCCACTTACTTGCTCTCTCATGCACGCAGCCATATCTGGCATCCCTTTCCCCCAGAAAAAAATAATAGCTTCTTCCAGTGGAGTTGGTTTGCCGAAGAAGGTGGTAATATGGTGGCTTCATTGTCCAAAATACAGTCATCAGAGGAGATACAACAGACAGCCAGTGGAGAAAACAGGCAACTTAGGGTGCCATACTTCACAGAATAAGAAGTGTGATCTCTCTTGTAAGATACGCACGAGCATTTTGCAGATCCCACATCCAGTATGTTTATTTTGAAACTTAACATGTGTCAATAATTAGGGAGATCGCTCTCTCACACAGCCCCCCTCTATTCAATGTTTTGCTGTAGATCAAATCCAGGAATACACAAGAAATAACTGGTGCTTTCACATAACTCCAAAAGCATGATCAGAAATAGTCTCAATGGTTTAAAAATGTATCTGGAATGGTAAGAGTGAGAGAATTGCTGAGTGATTCTGGCACCTTTACTTCAAACAAGGAGTACCTTAACTCCAGTTGTACCTCTTCGTTGATTAACTTACAATATATCATTAACATTTGTTCCCAAAGTTAGAATTCTCTGAATTTTTGTTCAGTGTTAGAAAATATGCCTTTAAGAAGAACTCCCACACACTCCGAATTAATGTTTTCCTGGAGGAAAACATCCCTTGTTAACCAGTTGGGAGGCATCATATTCTGAAAGTTGCACACAACATTACTCAGTTGAGTGTTTTAGAATTTAGGAGAATTCTATAGGCCACTGCCAGTACGGCATGATGCATGATAAAACCCACTATGTTAAATACTGCAAGCTATGTTGTAGTTTGCACTACATGTAAGTGCATATGCTGGAAAACTTTGTTATTGGCAGCAGAAGCACATGGCAGAACTTGCTACCCCAGTTCTGGCAGGTTCATATGCATACACTCCGCAGAATAGTCCTAGCAACAATAGATTAGGGGGACTTGTGTGCAACTAATCTTATTTTATAGGTGTGTGTGTGCTGCTGTGTCAGCATACCAACTTGGGTGTCCATTGTGGTCTTTCCAAATGTCTATTATTTAAATGTACAAATGTTATCTGAAGTATTTATACTGAATTTTCATTTGGGCAACCGAAGCCTGCCCCATTTCCAAATTTAACCATACAAATGGGCTTTTAAAACTGAGTTTTGCTTAAACAGTTTTATAATCTCTGAAATATACTATTAAATCCTGTACTCATGAGATGGTTCATATGTATCTTTCCTTGTCTCAAGTTAACTGTGCAACCTCAGAATAACCTTGCCATTTACCAAATGAGCCAATTAACTTTACATTTTAGGGAGGTTTTCAGTTTAATTATCACTGTTGAAAGATACGTCTCCATTAGTTTTGTGCAAACATGGCAAAGAAAACTTTAGGTCATTGATGGATTCTTGTTTTATGCAAGTACTTTTCCAAGTATGCAAGCTAACTGTGATCAAGATAGTTGTCAACTTAAAAAAAAATTAGGGCCATGAAGTGAAATAGATTAATGGAATCCTTTTTAATTTTCTTTAGAATTCCACTTGTAATTTATTTTCAGTTTTACAAAATGGAATTCCAATGTGGAAAAAAAAGAGTATAAGTCAAGTAAGGTTTTTAAAATTTCCAAACTCATAATTATCCTTGTTCAAATGTTTTTCTTAACTTTCTTACTGTTTTTACAATATTGAACATGTTCACTTTCTGAACATTACCCAGGTTATTTACGTGAACATCAATCCAGCACTCCACTCATTTAGTAGAAATGAAAAGATGAATTTTTCTATTGAAGGCTGTCTTCCTCTGCAGTTGTATGCATTTCATTCCCATTGTGTGGTTATTTACCAAGTACAAACAGAGCTCTTCTATTCCCTGAGGACAAAGAACAAACTGTTTGGGGAAAAAATATCTACAAAATCATAAATCTTTCTTTCGCCTATTTATTCTTCATGCCATTCAGTCAAATTTAGGGAATGGCTAATTAACTCCGGACTCATGGCTGACTCAGATGAGCCAACTTTCTCTTATCTGGTAAGATGTAGCCAAACTTTCAGACACTTTCTAGTAGACTGCAGCTCTACATTTTCCTCATTTCTGAACTTGTAGGGCTACTTGTCAAATGCAGTATTCCTAACTTGAAATTCAACTTCAAAACAGATGAAAGACACCCTTCCTAATATTTGGACCACCAGAAAACTGCAAATATAGGAACAATGTCAGGGCCAGTGTTGTTTCTTATGTAAATGTTAAACTGATTTCACAAATGAGAATATTTCCACTGCAAAACATTTAAGAATTGGTAAGCTAATCAATCTCTTTTCTAGTTCTGCAATAAAAATGAATAGATTTTCTTTGTATATCCATCCAGTTCTTTATTATTGTGATTAAAATTCTTTAAAGAAATCTGTCTTTTAAGAGTTAATGTGCTAGTTGTACGCTGTGCATCACCAATGTATCGAAATATACAGAAAGCAGCAGTTTTACAGAATGCTTTTCCTATGGTAAAAACATACTGCAAAAATAACACTTTGTTAGATTACTGTAATCAGTGAAGAACAACAAACTGTTGACTGTGTTGTGTATCTACTTAATGAAAGCCAATGCATACTCTAAAAAAAAATTGCCCCATGATTAACTATATCAGAGATCTGCATTATTAAACCATGTATATAACTAATTAATCTCCATATTGTATGTATATTCTTGAATTTTAGGTCCCATTTTCAATCTTTAATACACAAAATTTAGAATCCTGAAAAAATATAAGCTCCATTATAAAAAAAATACTACTTTTAACTTGTGTCATGTTGACAAGTCATAAGGTTGAAAGTAAACTGTGTTAACCTTATCCGACTTCTACTTTGATATCTCATATATTGGTGTCTGAGTTGCTGTAACATGGTAAATGGCAGATCTGCAAAGAAACACTATATCCTTAATCTTAATTGTACATTGTAAGGAGCAGGTATTTTGTGTGTGTGTATATGTAAACAATAGTCTGCATTCAGGGCAATTCTGAAAATACATTATATTACCCAAATCCTGTAAAATTATATTGTACTACTTCCATCATTTCCTTTCTCAAGTGGTCCCAAACTTGCAGTCCTAGTACAGGCAAACGCCTACAAAAATCAATGGATCAGACCCATTACTAATTTGCTTGTTATCTATTTGTTCTAATACCTATTAATATCAATGGGAGTCATTGGAGAGCACAGCCTCCTAGATAAGTTGTTTGTTTCCCTTGTTGTCAGTTGTCTCGACCTTTTTGACTGAGTGATCTCACATTTCTCAACGGTGGAAGTGTTTGTCATATGTCCCAAACATTGGAACATGTGATATCAATAAGAGCACAGTCCTGTATTCCTTACTCACGCAAAACCACCATTGAAATTAGAACTGTGGGTCAGGCTTTAAATGATTCAGGCAGGAGAAGCAAGCAAAAAGATTCCAGCCAGAGTGGGAATATTTATTTACTCACCCACATCACTTCTAGTTTCCCAGATGAGAAAGGAAATATCAAAAGAAAGCACAAGGAGGACTTAATGGGACTTTGGAGAAATAGATTGTTTAATGTTTGCCTAAATGTGGTTTGAGTTTTTTGACTCAGAACTTTTTGGAGAGAAAGAATAAGGCAAATGCCAAAACCAGTTGAACAAAAACTGTAAGCTTTGTATCTTATCTATGAGAATCAGGCGATGTGTGTCATGCTAGTTTTTACAGTCATAGTCTATAGTCTTCCACTGATAAAATCAAATTTGACAGTAACACAATATAGAGGTTTAACTGACAGCACACACAGCACATTTGCTAGTCATAACACCACAGTTTAATGACTGACGCATGTGGGAAGCTAATTCAGATTTTTTTTCTGAATGGGATAAATGAGCATCCAGTTAATACCAATCATGAATTCAAGCCATGTGACAAAATTGATGCTACATACCCTGTTCTTGTTTTGCATATTCTGCAAATTGAACTGCAGGAAAAGAGCCAGTTTGTACACACATCCGGAGAGAAAGTTCATTCTGCATTTTGACACATCTACCAATTGCAGCTAAATGTATCCTGCTTGCTGCTGTTGTGTCCACAAACTAATCAGCCTTTATCTGTTAAATAGCCTAAGAGTTACAAATTATATGCCTGTTTTGAGGAAAAAGTACAGGTTATAGAATTATACAAGCAGACATAGTATAAATAAAATATTCATATAAAAATAGTCTCTTACAAAATATACTCTTATCCTATGGTTCATTTTCCAAAGATGGAAGTTTGTCTGGAGTTTCATATTTATTTTTGATGTATTCCAAACTGGATTTTCATAATGCTCCTCTTTAATTGGAAAAAAAAAAGTGTATTGTAAAGAGATTATAATCACTACCAGTTTGATTTTTCCAGACAACTAGCAGCAAACAGAAAAAAATTATAAAAGATGCCTGCTTTTGTACTTAAACATCTAGTACTGCAGAAAATATCCTGCAAATCCAACTAGTAGAAATATCCAAGTAAAGAATAATATATACAGCTTCAGTTTTTTCCTTGCCGTATCTACAAAATAATTATTCCACAAAGAAAGCAAGCTATCTACTTTAATTGCAGAATAGTTCCAAAAATGTTGTAGAGTTCTTTTTTATTTAAATAAATTAATATTAGTTTTATCTGAATAAATTGTTAAATATTGCTATTATTATGCCCAGATGTCCCAAATCCCTGTGCTAAAATCTGCAGCACAAAAAAAGAAAGGCAGATAAACCAGTGTCTATGGAAAACTTCAACAGTTCTACTTGCTGTAGCAAATTGTGTGAAATGGAAAGACAGGCAAGACCAGCAGAAGCTTTTCACAAGTGTAGAAACCTAAATCTGCATAATCCACACTTAAGTAGGAATTCACACTGGGGCATTGTCACCCCCATCCTGTGCAAAGACCATTTTAAAGTTTTGTTTTGTTTCCCCCACCCAACCCATCCCTTATGCACAGTAGCTTGTGTATTTAATCATCTTTTTCCAAACCGAAAGAGTCAGTTGCCAAGCTCTCAGATTTTTTTCACTTGACTGGATGTTCTTTTCATAAGGCAGCCCCTGCATTAAGCTTTGGAAGTGCAGAGTAGCTGAGGTGATTTTTTTTTCCTCGGTTTTGTGCGTCAGGGTGGCTTGTTTTTCTGTTTTGGTTTGGTTTGGGGGATAATTTATACAAGCCTTTAATGTGTAGCCACCTAGGTACTGAAACATGAAAGGAAAAGACAGCTCCGTTCATTAGCTTTTCTTCTGGAAGGAAGCGGGGCCTTTGCTACAGGCTTGAGTAGTTCTGTTGAGCTCATGTGCAAATGTATTCATGCCTAAGGATCCGGCGTCACCTTCCCCAGCCACGCGGCTATTTGCAGGTGTGCACTTCTGTTCTTTCGCTGCACGTATTACACTTTACGTAGCAGCACCAGTGAAATTTGCAGTTGCACTGCCACACGCGTGAGTACTGGTGAGTATTGTAACCTCGACCACAGCACATCAGATCACAGCCATTGGACTGCTGGGCTGTTTTGTTGCACATTCTGCCCTGTGTTCCCACGCTGCCAGTGACAGGGTCTTCTTCGCAGTAGTTGGGAGATTTTTCGATGTACACTAAATCTGTATCCATGGGTTTGCGGTAGGACAGTGGCTTCTTTATTTTAAGGAAGGTTGGACGCTTGTTGCGACTCGCCCTCACCGGTTCAACCTGAACTGCGTCATTGTATTTGTCCTTAAGGATGTAGCCAAGCTCCCGGAATTTAGGAAGGGTTGTCCAGCATGTCTTAGTCGTACAAGATCCTGAAACTCCATGGCATTTGCACTCTAATTTCATGTTTTCTTCAAGAATCTAGATTTGAAAGAACACAGACTGTGTTAAAACAATAAGACTCCATCAAAGAGACATTGATCGGATGTAATGAACTATTGTTCTCAAAAGTGCTCTTTATAGCAACGGCTACTAAACCCAGGTCAAAATTCATGACCGCCCTGGCTGCAGATCTCACGTGCCGGCTGTGTAATTGTCACAGGCATCAAACTCCTATTGAGGTCAACTGATTCCCTCCCTACCCCATGTTGATCAGAGAGGAGAACTTTATCCAATTTCAAACAAAAGCAAAAATGGTGTCTTTAACCACCAACTGTGGTCTTCCCATTGCTTACTATGTGTTTATACTGTGCCCAGCCTGATGTGTCTATATTGCAATTTTGGCATATGCCAAGAAGATGGGGAGTTGCAGAGAAGCACAAATAACACACCTCGAGTATGGTATTTTCACATGGAATCTCATATGTACCAAATTCTGAAAATGCAATGATTTTTGCTACAAATGGATTTTGCAAACCAAACTGGGAAAATAAATTCCATTCCAGTATTTAGACCTGAAAATGGCATGAAAAAAGCTAGTAAAAAACGTTGCAGAAAAACTTTCACCAGTTTCGCCTCATGGTAATGTATAGATAGACATACACACACAAATGCTGCATATTAATGTTACATCTAAGAAAATCTATACATTACTTTCCTATGTAGTAGTTTTATTATGTGCCAGGTACTCAAGTCTATTCTCCATGTGGAGAAGAAGACAAGACCCCTTAGTCTGTAAAATTCTCAGCCTTCATTGTAGTACAATTGTAGATTTCTCTTCCGATGTAAACTCTATATGTTCAAAAAAAGGTTTGCTGTGTACTTAGGAGAGTCTTAAATCACAACACAAATGGTGGGCTTCTTAAATTGTGTGCTACTTAATCCCAACCACAGAATTTTAGTTAATATCTGGTGCTGACCAGACCAATTCTTGTGCAAGTTGGGGCTACTGAAGATGGAAACAATCAGGCTACTTTAAGCATTGCAAGTATAGGTGCTACACTTATTGTTCTTATATACTGTAGCTTTATAGGTCTTATAGTAACTGCTATTGCTTAGCCTTCTGAGGAAAGTTGGAACAGTATTGCGTGTCTGCTACAAAAAATGTTACTAGGCTTTTGTGTTTTTGTTTGAATTTTCCAAACATTGAAAAGTTGGAGTTCAAAAAATATTAGATATGGCCTGATCTCGCTTTTGTTCCATGTGTTGGACTGTCATGGAAATCAATGAGGTTGGACTGATGCCAGGATTGGTAAAGTATCTAGAGAGTATAATTCTGAACAGACGATGGCAATAATTTTAGGGTACAATAGATCACATTTTGGGGAATTATGGGACAGTTTGCATCCAGATCCAAATTTAATGATTAGCAGTGATCTATCTAATGGATGGACCAAAATCCAGATCTGGAAAAGTTTTTAGATTCAGATCTGCATCTGAACATCTTTGCAGCTCTGCTTAAATTTAGGCTTACATTATGGATTATTTTGGTTATTTTGAGATACTTCCTCACTCATTCAGTTACTGCATTGTTATTGCTCAGTCATTCATAATGGTAGTACACCAAGGAGCTAGATGGGGAGACAAAAAAGGAGCCAGAGCTCAGCAACCTGAAAATAATATAGATTCTCTCAGCCTTATTTGTAATGTATCCGTTTTTTGAGGTGATCTGTGATACATTTCTCATTTTGATAACTTGCCTTGTTCAAGAGGCTGGTTTTGCAACCTAGTGCAAATATTCAGAGTGGCAAGAAAAATAATAAAGCCTAATAGCCTTGTACTAATTCTCACATGAATCCTCCATCCCGGAATAGTACAAATTGTCTTGAAATGGATGTTTTATTATCAATCTAGTCATGAGGTTTTTTCCCCCCTAAATGTAGTTTACGTTTTAGATAGCCTCAGTTCCCTTTCAGTAACATCCCGTTTACAGACAGTGATCACTGAGGGAATAAACAGTTCGGTTGGAAAGAGCTGAGTAAGCTGATGCAATGGATCAACAATTGAAAGGATCTATGCCATGTGTTGAGCTTGCTGTTCTGTGTGACATATCTTGATGCCAGCTGGAACTAGCTGAGGAAGTTTTCTGGTCTCAGTTAGGACTGGGCGCAAGCCATTGGGATAAAAAGACCTGACTTCATTTGAACATGATACTTTTGAATAATAGTAAATGAACCCAAACATAATGGGTTCCTTTTAGAAGACCAAAACAATTATTTTTGTGTTGTGCCATACCTGATGGTACCCTTTTAGTTGTTTTTAATGTAAGTTTAGACGAAAAAGCTGACTCTTTTTTTGTGTTTTTATGCATCATCTAGGTGGGGCAAGTTTAGAGTCACTGTGCCAAATTCATCCCGACATATCTCCATAAGTGATCCATTGTAACTTGCAAATGCAAGTGCACTTCCCATCCCACCTCTGTCTTTCCTCCTAATCCACTCTTCCTACCTTCAACCCACCATCCCTCTTATAGAGTATTCTCCTCTATCCCTTTCTTCCTGCTGCTGCTTCCAATCCACTACCGAGCAAGTTCGGCAAGAGACCAATCAAAAACATAACTCTGTATACAGTCTATCCTCTACCTGAAGCAAAGCAAAACTCTGCAATATGGTGGTCTGTTACACTGTAGTATTGTGATGTCAGATGCTTGGGTTATTTGTCCTGCATTAAAAGGTACATACAGTGGCACCTTTATGCTTTCAGGTTACCTTAATATCCCACCAGTAATTCAGTTGTCTTCATAAATGCAAGGAAAGACCTGGGTGATATGTGGCTACCTAAAGTAGTTGGTGAGGAGGTGTGGAGCTATTCTCTTTGGCCTGGTCTACACTATGAGTTTATGTCGGATTTAGCAGCATTAAATCGAATTAACCCTACACCCATCCAGACAATGAAGCCATTTTTTCGACATAAAGGGCTTCAAACCAATTTCTGTACTCCTCCCCAATGAGGGGATTTGCGCTGAAATCGACATCGTCGTTTCCAATTAGGGTTAGTGTGGACGCAATTCAAAGGTATTGGCCTCCGGGAGCTCACACTGCATGTTTGCTGCTCAAAGGAAGCAGCTTACCCTTAAAAGCCCATCATTCTCCATTACAAAAAAATAAATATAAAAATGTCAAGTTGCCATATTTTGGGGAAGTCAGGATCTGTTTGTTTGAAGATTTAGTTAGTGGCTCATATTTTTCACATTAGACTAGGAACTAATTTACCATAGTTTGATTTGCTTTAAAATATTGGGGTCTGGGGAGTGCATAATTGCAAACCTGTGTCCTTTGTTTCTTCACTTACCATACCTAACATTATCAGCCACAGAAGGCACATCTGTTGTGTACCAGTGAATGCTCGGGACTGTGCTAATTGCTGACAAAGGGAGTGTTTTTAGTTTTGCCCACTTTTTTTCAAGTTCCTACAGTAAACTGTCAGTATTTGTTGATCTTTCTCTCACCCGCCATTAGCCTCTGGGAAATAGTTTACATTAAAAGGGTGTGGAAAGGAAAACCTGCACAAGTACTCTCTGGTGATATTACCAGCAGCTATCCCATCTTTGGGCACTTCCATGTGGAGTTTAAACAATGGACAAAGAAGAAAAAAGTAGGAGGAAAATATACAGGATGAGAACTAATTTCATGTCTCACTTTTCTATAATATGTTGTCAGATCAGATCTTGTAGCATTTCTGTTACCAAAGTTAGTCGGAATTCCATACTTTCTTTTTTTAAAATAGTTTATTTTTCACAATTTCACTTGCCAATCCATTGATACACTGTTCTGGGACAGTTTTACTGGGTCAATATAGCCTACCTTTCAGGGACAATGCAAGATCCTGAGTTTGGTGTGACACCAATGCACTGAGAGTGCTTTACTCTGTCAGCACAAACTAGGACACAGGCCCTTGGTGGCAAAAAGTCACCCAAAAAGTGAGTAGGGCAGGCCATAAGATTCACAAAGTCATTATACCTCCTGAGCAGCCTTCACCAACAGGGTTTCTGCAGCGTACCCTGCTCTGGGGACTCCTAAATATAACCCCTGAGCTGGAGAGGACCTCTCTACCAGCAGAGATGAATCTGGCCCCGTTCTATATATGAAATATGGATCCTCAGTGTTTGAAGGAATGTATGTAGCCACTGCAGTCAAAGCATACTCTGATCCCTGCCATAACCAGGGTATAATCTTTTGTAACTTTGGCTGATGTCAAGTGAGGGACCAGGAAATATACCAGTCTCCTACAAGTATTCCTATGTGTACCTTTATTACATGGCATTCAGGAAAAAAAATCAGCCATTGGAAAAATGAAGCCACCCTCTATCTGGAAGAGAGGGTGGCAGAAAAATGGAGGAGGCGGTTGCAAAACTTACCTGCTGTACTGTAAGCAAGTAGTATGAGAGAAGTTGGAGAGGATGAAATCATTCCCTCACCCTCTGGTTGCCAACTTTCTACTTGCACAAAACCAAACACCCTTGCCCCACCCCCTACCCTGCCCCTCCTCTGAGGTCCTGCCCCGCCCCTTCTCTGAGGCCCCAACCCTGCTCACTCCATCCCCCCTCCCTCTATCGCTCGCTCTCCGCACCCTCACTCACCCACTGATTTTCAGCGGGCTGGCTGAGGGGGTTGAGGTGCGGGAGGGAGTGAGGGCTGCAGTTTGGGGTGCGGGCTCCAGGGTGGGGCCAGAAAAGAGAAGTCAAAGGTGTGGGAGGGGGCTCGTGGGTTAGGATGTGAGAATGGGTGAGGGCTCCAGCTGGGGGGTGTGGGCTCTGGGATGGGGCCAGGGATGCGGTATTTAAAGTGCAGGAGGGGGCTCTGGGCTGGGGGGGTGGAGCCAGAGGGTTTGGAGTATGGGAGGGGGCTCCAGGCTGAGGCGGGGGTTGGGCTGTGGGAGGAGGTACAGGCTCTGGGCTGGAGGTGCAGGTTCTGGGGTGGGGCCAGAAATGAGGGGTTCAGGGTGTGGGAGGGGGCTCTGGGCTGGGGCAGGGGGTTGGGGTG